GATGCTCGACGCTGGCTGGACGCTGGCTCTACGCTGGCTAGACGCTGGCTGGACGCTGGCTGGACATTGGACGGCGACGCGAGACTGCTACTGCGCTGGCGCGACCTTCTGTCTTCGGCGCCGGCTCTTTTTTTCTAGTATGCTGAAGTGGCTCTTGGCACACGGTCTACGAAATTGATGAGATATTGGCGAGGAGGAGGAGGATCAGGGCGGTGAGATTGGTAGAGTGAAGAAAGGAGAGATTACCTGTTAACGATCGTGTCGAGATTGCGCTCTGCTGTTGGCTTCAGAAGGAGTCTGCGGTGTGTGCGCCATGTTGAGATCTGTTCGATGTCAGTGTGTGTCAGTGGAAACTGTCTGGTGACGTGGCAAGTAGGAGATGCCCGAAGGAGGAGTGGGCCAAGGAGGGAGATCTATCTGCTGAAGCTGAATGGTTACTTTCTCTTCCCCCCTCTCAGTCTAATCTCCCTCTCCTCACTCTCTTCTCTGGTTACTTGACATTGGACTCTTGATTACTTGTACGATTCGAGACATTGAAACTGCGCTGACACATTCTGTCCTTCGACCCACATTGTTGAGCTTTCCTCCTGACTGGGTTCATTGCAAATTCCCTATTCACCCGAATTCGAAAATTCTCACCATGGTAGAATGGCTTTGCAGTCCAAGACGAAGCTTCCTCGTATGCTGGATCACCTCATCTAAACCCCGCCAATGATGTCTATGACATCCACAAGAACATGACACCAGCTCTGGTCAAAATACAACCAAAAAAAAAATTCAAAAGGAAAAAAAAGGAAAAAAAAAAAAGGTAAAATAGCTGAGGCAGAACATATGCATAAGCGATGTGCGCAGGTATGTACTTCTTCAGACCAAACTGCTAACTGCACCTTCCTGCTTCCAGAAGCCGTGCAAATAAAACTGAAAAAAGAGCACACTTTGCGAAACTCGATATATTTTGCCTCATACCCATCAACCAAAAGAGTGCACTTTGCAAAAACAATCGAAGAATAACTCGATATATACTATCACGGGGAGCTGCCATGCAGAGCGGCAGGCAGAAAGGGAAAAAAGGACGACAAATGGGGTACACTCTTAAGGGACTTGTTTGGTCAGACTTCGTTGACTCATCTGGGGGTTGAGATATCAGTCAAAGGGTAAGCACCCACTCAAACTCAGCCCATACTAATTAGTCAAACCTACCTATCATAGACTATCAGTCAAACCTCAACTAATTTCTGCATTCTTTCCAAGTTTATGCATGATTGGTCAGTACCCTGAAAGGATTTCGCGCTGCAGGGCCCTGAAAGCCCGGCACCAAATCCCCAAGCTTCCGGAAGTTTTGAAGTCCCAAGTCGGTAGGTTCAGTAGAGTACGCCCGATAGGCCAGTAGGGGCGTCGTAGGTCTAAGTGGGCCCGGCATCCGGAGAAGTCAAGTGGATGTGCAGTCGCACCGGTACCCGACAGAAACGTCTGGAAGGTTGCGTCGATGTGCAGCCAGCACCCCACAGAAGAGTCTGGAAAGTCCAAGTCCAGTCCCCAAGTCCACAAAAATTGCGACACGTTCCACGAAAGTCCGGGAAGCTTCCAGACCGAAAAAATCATTGCAGCAGACAGGCCGTGGCTGACCGGTACCGGTCTGAAGCAGGCCGAGCCAAAACCAGTCCTACATTTAGCTGCTACAGGGCAGCGGCTCATCAGTTGTTAAGCGACTTGGGCAAGACAAGGCTTGAAGAGAAGGGATCGTCAAGGACAACCTTAGCTAGGGTGGTGATAGGGCAGCGGGGTGTCCATAGCCGCCAAGGGCTGCGTCTGAACTGAGCGGGTGTATCCAGTGGATGGTCCAAGGCAGGAGAGAGAGGGAGAGAGAGAGAGAGAGAGAGAGAGAGAGAGAGAGAGAGAGAGAGAGAGAGAGAGGGAGGGAGAAGAGATAGGAAGCGATAGTTGGTTACACATCTGGTTCGAGTCTGAGACTGTGTGAGTGGCAGAGACCACAAGGGAGACATGAACACTTTATTTGCATAATAAAGATATTTGTGTATCAATCTCTCGTGTGGTTCTCGTGTCTCGGCTATCGGTTCCTTATCTGGATGCCCGTTGCATGTATGTGCCAGGTTGAGGGTGAGTGCCTTGAGAATCTTTGCAACCCACTCAAACTCAGCCTATATTAGTTAATAACATCGAAATTTGCGAGCGTCAAGCAATGCTTCGATATTGACGTCTTGGCTCTAATGCCTTTGCTTCTTTTTTTTTTTCCAGATATTTGAACTGATGAGAACAGTCCGTTAAAATTGGAACGATACACAAAAGATTAGCATGGCCCCTGCGCAAGGATGAGACGCATAAATCAAGAAATGGTACCAAAAAAAAATACAAAAACTGATCAGAATAGATACTACAGTTTATCTTAGAGAAATTAGTCATACCCCTACCCTCATAATACTATGATCTGCATACGGGTGCAAAACATACATGCCGCGCATCCCGTGCACGCAAGTTGCGCACGTGCGCCGCATAGCGCACGCACACACATGCACACGCACGTGATGCAGCGCAGTTACGCATTTAAAAAAAAAGGGCAGGCTGTGGTAACCAAATGCGTGCCTCCCTTTTGAAATTTGTAACTGCACAGAAAAAGAATAATTTGGGGCCACATCGTACTCCTCACTGGATTGAGTGTCTTTTCCAAAGGGTCCCCTGCAAATCATTTGGAAGAACGAGCATTGAACTGCTGGAGGAACACGAGCATGCCAGCAATATATTCTGGATTCGGATTCAGGTCTGCGTTCCAAAGTTATGGGTTACGAACTTACTCCAAACACCACAGTAGCTGCCTCGATTTTTTGTATTTCCTTTTCTTAGGTGCAGTCGCCCTAATGGCCTCGCTCCACTCATCAGCAATTGCACAAAAGAAAAACATATGGCTCGTACGGTTCCAGTTTCTAGGAGAAGATTCATTCTAGTTTTGTACGGGCAGGGGTTTTCTGAAAAATGTGAAACAGCTCTCTCTCTCTCTCTCTCTCTCTCTCTCTCTCTCTCTCTCTCTCTCTCCAGAGTGTACACACGCATCACGGTTGCTGCTGCTTTTTCGTGCATCTGCGATCAGCGCACCCCGCAGCACGCACCGCACCTCTCGTATGCGCCACAAGTATGGTGCAAACTCATACCGCCAGCTGTCCTTTGCGGCATGTACCCAGCCCTATTTGCACTCCAATACATCTGAGAAAGCAGTTGAATCTTCCTTAAAGTGATGCGTGCTGACCTGTGACCACCTGCAACCCCATCGTACAGCGCAGCAATCACGTCAAGCTGTTTTGTCAGCAGACATACCACTCTTCTCGGAATGCTGTCATCTGACTTCTTAAAGAGATGACCATATCGAACGATGAAGTCCCTTACTTTTCAAGCGAACCTCCGGATCCACTTCACCTTCAGTCAATTCCCCATTCAACCATAATCCGATATTTCGATAGATCCCATCATATTCATTTTCACGAAAAGCTTCTTTGATTGAGAAAGCCCCCTGGTGTAAGGTAGGACTGTCCACGGTAATTGCAACATACACGTGTAATTCTTGACCGAGACAAATCGATTGCTGACGTACTCAACATTGCACTTTCGTGGAACCTATCTCACGCCGATTACAGTCAAATGCACTTGAGACAGTCCCAGTGCAGATATGCCATGCGTTCTCCACTCAAAGATAAGGCAATATGAAAGTGCCACCGTCTTCACCAGAATAGAACGCCCGGTCATTATCGCTGCACCTGGACCGAAAGTTGCCCCAAATACTGCTATAAAATGACCTGGCATTCTATTCGATGAAGACGGTAGTTTTGGATATGGCACGCATTCAATTGCGATGTTCTCTCAAGGAGGAGGCAGTACAATTTGCTCCAGTTCCACAATGGGCATAGCGGAGAATTACTTCTGACAAAAATCCAAGAATCCAAGGTCTCAAACGCCCCACCACACTAACACCACAGCATGGATCATTCAACAAAAAACAGGCAAGGGGTGGAGGGGAAAAGGAGGTGGGGAAACAAAGTAAATGATCCTTGCACAATAGGCAGCAGACTGCCTTACGTTCGCAACACTTTTACCACTCTTCATTATACTTCCACAAAATTATATGTTCTATCCTTAGAACACAACGAAGTCACTTCTCTCTCTCTCTCTCTCTCTCTCTCTCTCTCTCTCTCTCTCTCTCTCTCTCTCTCTCTCCCTGCCCCTCCTGTTTATCAGATTGCTACAGCTTCTCGTGGCCTAAACAACCCTCTTTCAACATCCCCAGCTTGCAGCTAAGCTCTCCAAACAGTCGTATACATGGCAACTGGACAGCAGAAAGCATGCCAACAAAGTTGAAAACTGTGCATATCAAAATTGCCCTACCAGGAAAAGAATATGTATGTTGGGTGGAAAAACAGAAACAAACAATATATACGACCTGAAAACAGTGCACAACGTAGGGAGGGAGAGACAGGAAAGACTGTGCATTCCATTGTCGACTATAGCTACTCCATGTGGAATTAGAAGTCCACACGTCAACATCAGTCAGCGTGACGAAGATCACCGAGGGCTTAATCCTCTAATGCGACTCTCCAGATAAAGCCTTAGACTAGATACATGGATATACGAGATCAACAGATATCAAGATATCAATGATACACACACACAGAAAGATCCAAAATAGATTCCCGTCCCCCCCAAGAGGGTAAGCAGAGAAGGAACCGCTTGCTGAGCAGGCATTATTCCCATGCTCACCCTCCCACCTGGCACCAACTGCCAGACACTAAGTGTCACAAACACTCCCAGCTTTCTACTTACACTCCGCCCTGAATCTAAGAGTTAAAAACTGCTTCAGCCTGTGGCTCAAATCTACTGCCACACAGCATGAGAGAAATACCCTGGCGTGGTGAACTTCAACTCTTGCAGCTCGGCAACACCATGTGCGTTATGCCTCGTTGCCACCACTGCGATGCATCTTCGCATGCACATGAATAAGGGATTATGGGGGGCTGAGGAGGGAATACATGCCTGCACCGGGTGCCTTTATACCCATCCCCATACTGCGGATATCTTCCATGCTTAATAACGCCATAAATGCCTGTGCGCCTCCCATCTTCGGTTCCCACGCGCCCCTCACGAGAGTTGCTCCGTCCACAGGTCCCTGGCATCCAAACACGGATACTCGCTCTGAGAGTATCCACAACCATGTCCCTGTCAGCAGTGCCGCCGAAGCCATATCTTGGTGTACAGCTAAAAATAGCTTTCAAATTTCAATCCATAATAGATAACGATGCAGCAGCGTTGGCAGCGGATGAAGTAATGCTTACCTCAAGAACTGTTTTTTTGTCAGCGCTCCCTCGCTAATGCCACTGCAAGTTGGCAACTTTCCCATGAATTTCCGAGAGACACTTTGCCGCTCTTCCACTGAGACCAGACCCTCAACAACTGCGATTCATTTATATTTCACCGTGAATGGTTTCTTAAACTTGTTTGCGTTAGTCTGCAACCCACCGTTTACATACTGCATCAAAGTCTCCCATTACTTTGAGGGCAGAAAGTTGGGAAGAGGGCTGAGGGAAAGGAGACAGAATGAGGGAATGAAGATTGCCTATCGTGATTTCTCTCTCTCGAAATGACCCAGAACTGCAGTCATTGCTACTGACATTTTGTAAACATGCTGCAATGACAAACTGCACTATCATTTTTGCTACTAATGTTTTGTGTATGTGCTGGAATGACGAAACCTCCCTCCGAGAAAGGCTTTCACGGAGTAAGAATATTGTAGGCACACACGAATCTCAGCTACTTTAAAAGGTGCAGGAAGTTCAGGAACAGCTTGGATGTGCAAGGGTACAGTGGACCTCAGCCCATGACTAAGCTAATGAGCAAGCAAACCATCAGACAGCATGAGCTCATCTCTCCGACTCTACATTTCAATGGAACAAACACATGCTCAAATTACCGACTGTACTACCACAACTCCCAAGACCAGATACGTAGCAATGATGGTGCACATGCATTCAAAATGATGGAAGAGTAGAGTATAGACGCCGCAAAAGAATGAAATCTGAAGATTGCCCCTCTGTCCAAATGATATGAAGAGGTGGCAGTACCTCCTACATTTCAATCAGGGGGGTGTGCACAAGAGCCACCTCACACCGCGATGAAACTGGTCATGGAGTTCACCAGGTTCCTGCTTTCTGAGCATGTGGAGGTGGCAGTACCTCCCACTCATGATATTGCCAACATGTGGTCTCGGTAGAGACTCCTCTGCATAAGCATGCGCCCCCACCCATCTTTCAAATGGGCAGCCCCCACAGTTGTTACATTTGTGCATGGAAAGCATGAACTTAGCCATAACAGCAGCCAGGTTCCTGCTTTCTGAGCATGAACATGGGACCAGAGGGGCCGCAGCCAAACTTGTCTTACCACTCTGACTAGCGCATATGCTGTCAATTCGATGTCAAACAATCTCCGGCTAATGCTGGGAAGATGTGTCGTCCATGGGCAAATAACCGACAAACAGGCCTCATAGCTTTGCCCCATTATGTGCTGCCTATACAGGTTTGTTGCCCCTGTTGATATCCAATGTTTCCAGATCTGTGAGCCTTTCCAAGGCACTGCTCTGACTAGTTCATAATTTGACATCACGCATTGAAAATGGCCGTCAGTATTGTTCCTTGTGACCTCTCTGTTCCAAGCCTGACGGCAAGTGTACAATTCCTTGTGGCCTCTGTGTTCCAAGCCTGACGGCAATAGTGTACAATCCCCTCAGTCGATGCACATTCCTGAGTTCTGCTCCCTAGTCATGACAAGCACATAGTCATTCCTTTTTACAATTTCTTATTGCATCTCAGTTGGACTAGTGCTGTCAGTTCTGATGAACTTCGGTCACATCAGCTGAGTTCACCTGGCATTAACACACCCTGATAATCAATGCATACAAAGCATACTTGAGATGAAGTGCGCTGATTGCAGATGCGCAAAAAAAAAAAAAAAAAAAAAAAAAAAAAGAAGAAGCAGCAACCGT